GAGGCTTTCAGGGATGCATCTGATTCTATCCAAAATGGTTTGGTGATGTCAGGCTGTACCAACAGTGGTTGAGTCTTGAAACATCCCTTGAGTTGATTGATGGCTCTGTCATGATCATCAGTCCAACTCCACTTGACCCCTTTCACCAATAGGTCAAATAGAGGTTGTGCAACTTTGGAATATCCTGGAATGAATTGGCGGTAGAAATTGGCAAAGCCTAAGAAACATTGTAGTGCTTTGACGCTGTCAATCTTGGGCCAATTCAGTACTGCTGATACCTTGTCTTCTGCCATCCCTATTTGACCTGGTTGGAGGATGAACCCTAGGAATTTGACTTCTGATACATCAAAGAAGCACTTCTCAGGTTTGAGAAACAGGTCTGATTCTCTCAGGCACTGGAGGATCAGTTGAGTATGTTGTTGATGTTCTGCATGGTTGGTGGAATAGATGAGGATATTGTCAATATAGATCACTAGCCACCCTTCTAGTAACAGATCCGCGAAGATGCCATCCATCATAGCTTGGAAAGTTACCAGAGAGTTTGTCATTCCAAAGAACATGACAGTTGGCTTGAATAACCCTCATGGAGTAATAAATGCTCCTTTCCATTCATCACCTTCTTTGATCCGTACATTGTTGTATCCTGTGTGCAAATCAAGCTTGGTAAACATAGTTGGCTTGGCAGAGGCAACACAATCCAATAGATCTTCTACTCTTGGGATTGGGTAGGCATTTTTGATGGTGGTGTCATTGAGTTTCCTGTAGTCCTGACATGGTCATAGATCTCCTGATTTCTTGTTGACAAAGAAGAATGGGGATGCCATAGGAGACTTTGATGGCCAGATATAACCTTTCTGCAAGTCTTCCTCAATGAAGGTGTCTAATTCCTTGAGCTTTGCTGGCAATAATGGGTAAACCTTTCCTCGCTGAGGTTTGAAGTTGGCTTCTAAATTGATTGCATGGTCCCAGGATTTCCATCCCGGTAATTGTTCTGCTGTACTTTTGTTGAATACAGAGAGGAAGGCGCTTAGATATTCTGGGATGTTACTAGCAAGGATTTTGATTGCTCGTAGAAGTTGATCCCAACAAAAGCACATCTTCCCAGTGATCCAATCAATTACTGGGTTGAAATATTTGAACCAAGAGAGGCCTAGAATGATTGGATTCCTATCAAGTACTGTGGTGTAGGCTTCTATCTTCATTGGTTGTCCTGATAAGAATATAGTGAAGAAGACTTTGTGTTTGATGGCTACGGCTTTATTTGGTGATCCATCGACATTGAACACTGGTCTGGGTGTGATACTCTGGTGCTGGAGGTTGTGATCTCGAGCAAACTGGATGTCAATATAATTCTCCATTGCTCCTGTGTTGAGCAATGCTTCGGTGGTGACGGTTTTGGCATAGGTTTTCAAGATGCAAGGCAAATAAATAGATTTATGAGCTAATTATGCCTGATATAAATAGTCCTTAGTGCCAGTACTTTGATTCGACGTCACAGCAATTGAAGACTTCAAAAATCCTTCTCAGAGGATATAGGTTGAATGTATTCTTCAGCTATACCTTCTTTGTCAGAAGAGTCCTTGGTTTCATCCTTCTCCTGAGTGGATGTGTCGTGGGATTCAATGGCCCTGATGCAGTTGTTTGGGCATTGGCGACTCTGGTGCCCGGGCTTGTGACATCTGAAACATAACTTCTTATCCATGTGTTCCTTGTGATCCTTATCTGACAGACATCTGATCCACTGATCGTTAGATGATACTTCCTTTGATGATCCATCCTGGGTCTCAACTGCTCAATTGCGACGTACAAACTTGTTACGACCAAAAGAGCGGTTGGTAGATGGCATGAATAAAGGTTTATCACCAAAGATGTTGATCATGGATTAACAGATAGATTGGATGCTGTTGAGGTATCCTACTGCAGGGACTGGTAGCGGTGGTTGGGTGGCAATCTTGATCAAGAGAGCAGGAGGAATAAGATGCTGGAGTTCTCAAATTTGCCCTAATTTGTTTAATCCGCTAGCTTGTAAGAGAGGTTGAAGAGTTGTGACAAATCGAAGGCTGTTTCCTCCACACTTTACCCAGGTGCATTTGCTGATTTTGTTTAGTGCTGCCTGAGTGTCATCCTCAACTCCAAAGGTCTGGATGAAAGACTTCCTGAAGTTGGCCCAGCTGGGCAATCCTTTGAGAGGTGCATCTTCGGATTCAGATATGGGTTCTTCCACATCAGTGATGATTGTGTGAACAAAGAATTGGGCAGGCCCTTTGATATACAAAAGAGTGCATTGAACCTTATCTTTATTGGTCTGGATCTTCTTGGAATTCCCAGAAAAGTACAGGTATAACTCATCTAGGAATTCCTTGCTCTTTCCTTTGTCTCCTTCGAATTGATTGGGCTTGTTCACTGCTCTGTTGTTGTTGTCAGACATGTCTCCTTTGTCTTCTTGGTCACTGGGTTCTGGGGTACCGTCTTCTGGGTTGTTTGGGTGTCTGTTGGAAGAATCTTCTTCTGGATTGGGATTGACTGGAGATCTAGGTGGTTCTGGTTTGGGTTCTGTTGGAACAGGGACTGGGTGTTGTTCCTCAACTGGGACTGGTGGGTTGACTGGTTCAGGTGAATCAAAGATTCCTGAGAAAAAACTGGATCTGACTGTAGGACTAGTGTTTGTCGATTCACTTGGCAAGGGTTTGGTGGTTAACTGAAGTGGGGATGTGCGCGGTGTAGGGACTACTACACTTCTACTGGATGACGCTGCAGTAGGAGTTGGGTATGATAGTACAGGTGAAGACTTCTCTGCTAGTGGGGGTACTATGGAGTGTCGATGTTCCTTACTTCCAATAGGAGCTAAGATTGCTGTGGGTGCTGGGATAGTTTTGTCTCTTTTCCTGTTTGGACAAAGTGAATCGGCACAATACTGCCAAGTGTTAAGGGACCTGACGACTGAGGATCAGGAGTTCAACTTGTTAAACTGGTACTAGGACTAATACATGCTAAGGCTCTACACAGGGACTAGACTTGTAGAATGAGCCGCTATATCTGATAGCGGTTTGAGAGGGCAGACTGAGTGAAGCTAGACTTCAGACTGGAACTGGAATAGACAACTGGGTCTATTACTGAGTATGTCCCTATGAAGGT